CCTCCTCCTCCTCCTCTTCATCCTCCTCATCCTCCTCCTCATCTTCCTCCTCCGCCCCTCCTCCTCCTCCTCCTCCTCCTCCTCCTCAGCCTCCGCCTCCGCCTCCTCCTCATGTTCCTCCTCCTCATCCTCCTCCCTCGCCTCCTCCTCCTCCTCTTCATCACCCTCCTCCTCATCGCCCTCCTCCTCATCGTCCTCCTCCTCCTCATGTTCCGCGTGATCCTCTTCCTCCTCCTCAGATTAGTATTATTAGCTTTAGTGGTATCACTATTGTTGGTGGTATTAGTAATGGTAGTATTAGTAGCGTTATGAGTGTTAGTAGTATCAGTATTGTTAGTAGTATTAGTATTAGTATTAGTCGTATCATTGTGTGTTATTATTATTAGCATCAGTATGGTTCGTCTTCGTATTCTGAGTAGTAGTAGTAGTAGTAGTAGTAGTAGTAGTAGTAGTAGTAGTAGTAGTAGTAGTAGTAGTAACAGCAGTAGTAGTAGTAGTAGCAGCATACGTAGAATTCTTTTTATGCGTAGTATTAGTCGTGTTCTAATTAGCAATATTAGTTTTACGAATATGATTATTATTGATCGCCGTATTATGTTTAGTATTAGACGTGGTCGGTTTAGTTGCATTGCTATTAGTTCTCGCCGTAGTCTTCTTATTCTCCTTTATTAGCATTCGTAGTCGTAGCATGTGGCTTATTATCAGTATGAGTAGGCTTCGTCGTATTCGTATGAGTAGTATCATTAGTCGTAGTATGCTTATTAGTAGCCGCATGACTAATATTAGTATTCGTCTTCTTATTCGTAGTATTATTATTATTCTTAGTGTGGTTATTATTATTATTCGTATTCGGAGTCGCAGTCTTAGTAATGGTGTGCTGATTCGCAGTCGTCTCCTTAGTATTAATCGTATTAGTGTGCATTCGTATTATTATTCGTAGTAGTCTTGTTCTTCTTCTTCAAGATAGTATTAGTGATCGTCTTGTTTTTCTTCTTATTATCAGTCGTCTTAGTATTAGTCTTATGCGTCGCCTTATTGTTAGTGGTACTAGTATTAGTATTCCTCCTCCTCCGCCTCCTCGTCCTCCTCCTCCTCCTCATCATCATCATCCACTTCCTCCGCCTCCTCCTCCTCCTTCTCCTCCACCTCCTCCTCCTCCTCATCCTCCTCTTCCTTCTCCTCCTCCTCCTCCTCCTATTCCTCCTCCTCATCCTCCTCCTCCTCCTCCTCCTTCTCCTCCTCCTCCTCCTCCTCCTCCGTCCCCCGAGATGTGGGCCCCCGTCGTGCGCCGCCCGCTCGTTCCTGCCCAGCGTGCCCGTCGAGAGCGAAAGCGGACCACCCACGTGTGTGTAGGGTTCCCCGAGGGCGCCATAAGTAGGTTGTTGGCGCCAAGCCCCCACCCCTTCCTCCTTGAAATCCCTCTCCTCCCGCGCGTGCGACCCCCAAGAGTTCGGGCCTGGACACCAAGTCCAGGAGCTCGACCGTGTCCTGATCAGTTCGAGTCGAGGGGCGCACGCGGTGCGCCCACATCGACGGTCGTTTGGCATCGCCCGAGCCTGCAACCCGAGAACGGAAGGGGGTTGAGCGGGGCAGTGTGGGAGTCGGGGGGAGAGGGTGCAAAGTATGCTCGAGCAGGCGAACACCAACCGCGTCGGCGCGCTGTTCGACAGCAAGGACCGCGCCACCCCCTCCCCCGCCCTCCCCATCGAGCTCCTCGGATTGGTTGCGCACGCGTGTTTGAACATGCGTGTCGTGCGCGCGCCGCGCTTCTTGGTCTGCACGTTCTCCTCCTCCTCCTCCTCCTCCTCCTCCTCCTCCTGCTCCTCCTCCTCCTCCGATTGCTCCTCCTCATCATCATCCTCCTCTTCCTCATCATTCTCCTCCTCACCATCATCATCATCATCATCATCATCAGCAGCAGCATCATCATCATCATCACCATCACCATCACCATCACCATCACCATCACCATCAGCATCATCATTCGTGTCGGGTTTTTGTCTCTAGGGTTCAAGTGCGTGTCCGGATTGTGCCTCTAAGGTTGAAGTGCGTGTCATGCCTGTGCTTCGAAGGTTTACGTACGCGTCGCGCCTGTGTCTCTCAGGTTCAAATGTGCGTCGCGCCTGTGTCTCTAAGGTTTAAGCGCGTGTCTAGATTGCGTCTCTTATATTCAAGTGCGTGTCAGGATTGTGTCCCTAACGCTCAAATGCGTGGC